TCTCTTCTCCAGGCTGAACAAGCCCAGCTCTCTCAGCCTGTCTTCATAGTAGAGGTGCTCCAGCCCTCAGAGCATCTTCACGGCCTCTGTAATCACTCCGACAGCCCCATGTCCTTCCTATGTTGGGACTCCGGATCTGGACACAGGACTGCACGAGGGGTCTCACCAGAATGGAGCAGAGGGGGAGAATCCCCTCCCTCAACTTGTTCATCACAGATGCTACATAAGAATTAGCAATTTTTAGGCACCTAAGTACGATCTATGGAAGGGGCTCCAGCTTTCAGGAGGTGCTGAGGGATCACCTGCTGATTAAAGGGCCTCCTCTGTCTGTCTTGAATCAGACATCCCTTTACAATGCCCTTTGGGTTTGGTCTGATTCTCCTCTCAGCTGCACTGAACTCTACAACCTCCACTTCACAATAGCCCCGGATGCGATGAACAGCACACAAAAAAAACTACCCATCGTATTCACGGCCAAGACCCATCTCCAAGGCAGGTGGCCTGCCATGGTGAGACATATGCAGGGCTCTAATGAGCAGTTTGCCAAAACCCATTTTGGCAAAGAGCAGAACGTTCTGCATCTGAAATTCACGCTCAGAACTGTGACATTTGCTAACACAGGGCAAGGCAATTTCAGCTGGGCTTCAGCGTTTGGACCAACAGCGCTCCACATGCGGGTGAGCTTAAATGTCCCTGGCAAGCTGCACAAAATCAGCAAGGAAACCATTCCTCCTTGTGCTGTGTGTTATGGAAAGAAGGCAATTTGTCTTTTTTGGATCAGCTGCACAGAAGGGCCTTTGCTGAGCCAGGAAAGCCTCTGGTCTGAGCTGCAGTGTAAGTCAAACCCCAATTCATCTGCTCGCCATGGTGTGGATTTGGGCTGTAACTGAGTTTTCACACCTTTTTGAAAACACACACACATGCTACAACTCCCCAGGGTGAGGAGAGGGGACACCCTGACAGCTTCGAGCACATCACTTTTGCAGCACAGCATTTCAGAGACATGACACAGCCAGACTTCGGTAAGGGCAGCTTCTTACTTGGGTAAGGTACAGCTTCTGCACCAGACTGTGCTGAGAGGAAGGGACCTGGATTGCACCCTCGAGCAGAGCAGCTAACACGCTGCTTGCCTTTGAAAGCCATCAATCCAATCACTGAATAGTACAAACTCCTGCCCAGTGCTTTACCTTTATGGGAGGTTTTCTTGTCAGGTGAGAGACCAGGAAGTTCATGGCAATGTCCTCGCAGTTGATGTATTCGTCCACCATGTCGCGGATGGCCTGTGGCATCACGTAGGAATACAGGTAGGCGTAGTACTGGAGAGGACACAAAGACACAGCGTTGCTCAAGGTGGGCCCATGCAGCAAGTGCCCACCCATCTCTGGTGCCATCTGCACCAGACCTGGAGTAACTGTGGCACCACAGGTGAGTATCCAGACCATGTGCTGGGATGTATCTGACTTGGAGCTCAAGGGTGCCAGCAGAGAGACTCCCCATAATGGAGTTAATCCTGCACCAAGGAGATCTGCTGTAGCCACAGCATCAGCAAGTCTATCCCAGAGCCGCCACCCTCACTGAGTCCTGAGGCTCCTGTAACCTCAGACATTGAGGAATGTGGTTTCAGCTCCCTCAGGTCTTGTTGTCTTTGCTGCTGTAGGGTCAGCACCGCAGCAGGAGCTGGGGGATAACCTCCCCAGTGTGATATGACAGCTCAGGACAGTCCCTCAGGAATTTCTCAAGGTCTGTTTGCCCACTGTCACCTCTCTCACACACAGAGGCACATGTCACAGAACCACCTTCTGCACTGCTCCCTTCCAACATAAACCAGCCACCAACCACATCCACCAGCCAGCCCATGCCAGCACACAGCCACAGGAACCCATGGCTCCTCTGCAAATTACCCCTTCCTTGCAACACTTGGAGCCTGTAAGATTCAAGGTGCTAAAGTAAAGACACAAGGGCAGGCAAAGACCATGGCCCACCTTGCCCTCACCATGTCCAAGAGCATCACTGAGATGTGCTTGGCCCTGTGCTCTATCCACCTGCTTCAGTACTGTGGTGCTTCTCATGTGGCTCAAACATACGCTGCTCATTGAGGAGAATGTTTGCTGGGACACAGACCAGTTGCCGGCCGTGTTCCAGTTTGGAGGAAGCAAGGAAAAAGGAGTGCTGGCCTCCAAAATTTGTTCTTTAAAAAACCCCGACAATCCCACAAACACACAGGCTCTGGTTACTGTGAGAAGGAAGGGAAAGCTCAAGGGTTTGTGTATCTCACCTTATGAAAGAAGGCAGCACCAGTGAGCACCATAGAGAGCTCACAAGAGTAGTTGGAGTTGTAGAGCCAGGACTGATGGGGGATGTCCCACGCGTGGTAGCGCCCCGGGAAGCCAACGATGCGGTCCCTTGCCTCTCTCCAGACACTGCAAACACAAAGCCTTTCAGTGAGACACAAACCCAGAGAGCCTGACCGGAGATGAGCAAGGTTCTGGAAGAGAACCACTGCACTCAAGACTATGCCCTTGATGCCAACGGACTGGCTCTTGAGGGGGGTTGCAAGTGATGGAGATGCCTATACATCAAAGGTTTGGCAACTGCTTCTCCAAAGAATGGCCTATACATATTGTAGTTTGAGCAAAAAGGAAAAACATCATTTAAATGTGCAACTGCCTTTCTTTAAAGCCCATTTAACTATTAAAAAGAAAAATACAGACAATTCCAACACGCAAGAGATGTCTTTTTACACAGGCTGTTCAGTGCAAGCTCGCCCACCTTCACAGACCAAAGCTCCACAGTGGGCAGGAGGGACTGACTGGCCATCCCAGCTGCCTGAGTGACATGTGAAGAAGGCTCACCCTGAGATACGTCCTCCTCCTGTTCTAGTGCAGGAAAGGGCTGAACACAGAAATCTCAGCTTTAATGGACAGGCAGAATTTGTTGACCTTCTCTTGTTAAAGGTTAAAAGCTGTAAGATATGAACTGAGGCACCCCTCAGTCAGCTCTCCCAAACACAGACCTACGTTGCTCAGTACAAAGCTGAGCTTCTTACCTTGGTCCTCTCCAAAGGAGAGCTCATTCACAGGGAAAGTGCTTTTAGCTCATAAATAAAGTATTTTCTAACTCATCAGGGCTGTTCTGTGGGTTTACAAGAAAGCTAACTAAAAAGCCCAGTGGTCCAAAATTAGTTTCAGAAATACACGAAGAATGGGAAATGTAAGACCTCGTGTGGAAAGGCAGAGGAGGCAGGGAAAGCGTAAGGTGGGAAACTCTTCCATTTGCCAGCAGCTTCCCGCAGCCCATGCAGGGGCTTCCCTGCATGACACATACACCAGCACTGCTTCTCTCTTATTTCCCCTCCATGGTAAAAACAGAGCAGCCAAGGCTTGGCCTGGGAGGAACCCAGCATCTCCTGGCCTCTTCCCCCAAATCCCTGGGACTTTCTGTCTCCCAGAAGCTCCGTTTCCTCCTCTGTAAGTCAAGATAATACCCACCTCCCTTTTGGAAAGCTGCTGAGATGCTGAAGACCCTGGTGTCACCAGATGGAAGATCTGCAGTGCCAAACTGCCAGATTCCCATCCCAAACCAGCACCTGGAAGCTTCCAGACTCTGACCGTACAGGAAGAACCTATGGGGCCATAAGTACATCCTTCACCCCAACACACACTCACAGTTGAACCATAGGGACTTAAATCCTGAGGTTCACATGGGAAAGCATGGACTTGCTTAACATTCTGCTCTCATTTAAAGGTACCTCTCCTTGAGGAAAGTCCCACACTGGCAGGAATAATTAAGAAAAAAGTCAGAGCCTAGTACCTAACCTGGGAAATAAATCCAGCTTCCACTGGCAGGATTTCGGCTTCCTTGGGATCAACCTATACCATCTTCCCAAAAGTTAGTGTCCAAGTTGCATCTCCAAACCCAGCGACTCCAGACTACAAGAAAGAAGTCCCAGGCAGGAGCCTGTTGGACATGGAAGGGTTTCTCCTTGTTCACAAGCACAAAACAGGACAGGAAGTGGCCTTTTTGATTTTCTTCCTCATGTGGATCATAGAAACATGGAATGGTTTCACCCCCTGCTATGGGCAGGGACACCTTCCACTAGACCAGGTTGCTCAAAGCCCTGTCCAACCTGGCCTCGACCTGCTGGTCACGCTGCTGGTGATGCAGCCCACGACACGGTTGGTTTCTGGGCTCGAGCACACACTGCTGGGTCATGGGGAGCTTCTCTTTGACCAACACCCCCAAGTCCTTCTCCTCAGGGCCTGTATTTGTGCTTGGGATTGCCCTGACCCATGTGTAAGACCTCACACTTGGCCATGAGGTTTGCAAAGGCCCACCTCTCCAGCCTCTGGATGGCATCCCTTCCCTCCAGAGTGACAACCGCACCACACGGCTTGGTGTTGCCAAGCAAACTTACTGAGGGCGCGCTCGATCCCACTGTGCATGTTGCCTACAAAGATGTTGAGCAGCGCCAGTGACAACACCAATCCCTGAGGAACATCACTTGCCACTGGTCTCCACCTGGACATTGAGCCATTGACCACAACTCTCTGAGTGCGACCATCCAGATAATTTCTTATCCACTGAGTGGTCCATCCATCAAATCCATGCCATACAAGGATGCCGTACGGGACAGAGTGATGTTCCTCTTACAGCTGCCACTTGCATCCCACTCGTGTTCCTCCCACGTCTCCTGTTCCTATGGCGAGCTACAGAAATGATGGCTGCAGGGCAACCACTGCCTGCTGAAGAGACCGAGGTTCCAAGAGCCCTGAGCATTCATTACACACAGCCAGGAGCAAAGACTTGTTTATTGTCATATCCTCTACTCAAATTAAACTCTGATATAACCTGGTAATGAAAACTGAGTAATTAACACCAACAGCAGCTTCCCTGGCACCATCTTCCCCTCAAGCACTTGTTTCCTGCGGTTTCTGTCAATCCAGTGTGATCATTTTGAAATGAGTTGAAACTACTCATTCCCTTTCACTTCTCCCACGTCTCGCTTTCCTATGAATGCAACACTTTCTCCTTCCCAGCTCAGCCACAAAAATAAGGATTTCTTTGGAGAATCATTTTGGGTACGCTCCTCAGTGAGGTTTGCTCAGGGTGCTCGCCTCCAGCTTGCTCCTGAGCAGTGAAGAGAGCAAGAAGAGGCTTTTGGCCCTAAGAATTACAGCCCAAAGCAAAATTTCAACAAAACACAGTTGTTATGGGCAGAAGTTCACTCAGTTGCTGAGACACCATCTCTTCCCTGGCTGAATGCATTAACACGGAGAGGCTCTGTGGGAACCAGGCGTTTGTAAGCGGGGGTATGAGTGAGAGTAATACATGGCACTTACAATTTTCATTTGATGCTCTCCAGGGCTAATTGGTAAAGCCCCAGCCAGGCGCTGTGGGTGAGTGAAGGAGAACGGAGACCAGAGGATGAGAAAACAGCCAAATCCAGATAGAGACCCTGAAACAGGGCACAGAAAGGAAGCCAGGAGTCCTGACGCCTACTCTCATGCTTTAATCACTTTAACACCTCATTTCTCATCTCTCAGAGAGAGCCTGTTTTGCGTCTTTTAATCTTCTCCCCAGACATGAGCCAACATGTTTTGGTGAGAGCGGTGAGCTGGGCCCATCACCTGCCCCCCAGCCAGCTCAGAGCAGCAGTCACAGCCCCTGCTCCTGGCCCAGTGGGCTGATGAGTCGCAGCCAAACAAAATCCGGTGTTCTCCTTGTGCCATCCTCACTGCCTAGTGCCTCTTTGGCAGTCAGTGAGGTTGTGCTGTACAAGCTGCAGGAGCATCCTGCAGAGACCTCCCATGGCAGAGCCCACGTAACTTCTCTCTCCCTTAGCCCCATAATCAGGGAAGTATTTTGCCAGGGCAAAGTCAAAGGAAAATTTCTGCTAGAGCAGAAAGGGGGTAGGAATAACAGCAACCAGCACCAGCCTTTTCTGTGTTACATCTCTATTTTCCATGCTCTGTAAAAATAAAATAGCCAAAATAGCTACCACATCCCAATGTCACATGGAGCAAAGAGGATGGCAGCCCACTGTGAGCACACAAGCATCACGTCTTTCGGCAGCTGCTAACATCCTGGCCTTGACAATGGGCACATGAAGGATGGAGTGAAACAGCCTCTTGGATTTGTTTTCCTGTTTCCTTCAACCCTAGGAAGCCAGGCACCCCCAAAGCCATTAAAGGAACATTATGAGCACAGTAAAAGCTGAAGAGTTGAGGTTAAGAAGCATGAGAATCGAGGCTGTCCAGACAACCCCGATTCCAAACTGAATCAGCCCACCTGCCTGCACTTGTTGAACAGCTTGTTAGAGCGTAATACTCTTCCAAGAAATTGAGTTGGAAAGCCATGGGAAGAGATGTGCTAGCCCTAATTCTGTCCCTGGCTTTAGTCACAAGGCCATGCTGCATTTGAGCAGACCCTAGATGCAGAAAACATCAGTGCAAAGGCTACATGTGCAGAGGCCACTCACCGGAACCCAAACATGATCTCGTCGTGGCGAAGGTGAGCATCATCATCAATGGACAAGATGGCCTCTGTCTCGATCTCATCCCATGGCAGGAACCGGTTGTTCAGGCTGTTCTTCTCTGTGCGGACGACCTAGGAGATGAACACACGATTGTTATGGTGGCTCTATGTACCCAGAGATACAGGGGCTGCACACTCCAGCTGTGGCAGTCCAGCATTTTGGCACTGCTTTGTAACCCCTTTCTAATCAAAAAGGACCAGCTCACTCGGGCACCAGTTCCAGCTTCCAGCCATTCTACCTGCAGCTTCCTGCCCATCTTACAGGGCTGTAAAAAGCCAAACCCAAGCCCCATGATGCCAGGACCCAGCTGTAACAGCTATGCCTGTGGTCACCTGCCCTTGCACACACAGGAGGGTGGCTCTGCAGTAATGATGAGAGGGAAACACACAGCCATGGCCAGACTCTCCTATGGCCACTGAAGAGTAGCCCTTGCAGGATGTCTCCAGTGCAGCTCTAAACTGAACTGTTTCTGCAACTACCCATGGTTTCTGCTTTGGACACAACTCATTTGCCAGGCCTCCCTCTCTCAAAACTCTTCCAGTTCCTCCCAGTACAACTTCCTTTATCCCCAGCCATACATGTGTAAACTCGTACTGAATTTCTCCCTCTTCTTGACTGCCCCTTCCATGCTGGACCCTTTCCCGCTCTTGCTCTTACACTTTGCCTGCCCTGGCTGATCTATAGTCACTCAGTTCATCCCAGGCTTCCCATCCCATTCAATCCTTTCAGTCATATTTCTGGCTCGCCTTCTGAACAATCTCTCTTGATTTAAAAATAAAGTCCAGCCTGGTGAAAAGAATAAGGCGTCACGGCAGTAAAACTCCATTAAATAAGATTACATTTGATCACACAAAAAAAGCCCACACTGAAACCATTAACAGTTGAAAATATTTGTATTGGGGATCTGCATGACAGCTGGTACAATTAAATTCCCATGTAAAGCCACTGTTAGTGCTTTCATCTGTCAATAGCTGCTGGGGGGGGAATGGAACATTCAACAAGAATGCATTAAAATATTTCACTGAAGATCCATCAAAAGCACGAACAATTTACTGCAGGGAGGTGAACAAAATACGCAGCTCTAAGGCGTGGTGGGGCAGGGCCAGAGCGGAGCCAGCGGCATTCCCACCCCAGGAGGGCTGCGAGGCAATTAGTGCCCACAGGAAAAGGCAAAGGCAGAGACAGACAATGCTGGCGCAGGAATCTCTCCCTCTCAAGGTGGAGAAGCATGACAAGAATCAGCAGAGTGTTTGTATTTACTTTCAGAGTTACGTGTGAGCCAGCAGATGCTCCTGGGGATTGTTTTTACCTGGGAACTGCTGGAAAAGAGGCGTTGCAGGAATCACAGTGGGAATGAGCATTGAGGAAGGAAGCGGGAGAGGTGGCAGCTCCACACACTGGTTCATGGGAGGCAGCTGGTTAAGACAGGAACCAAACACCCAGGAGGTCTGGCAACTTTATGGCCTTACGGCACTGGCCCAGGAGGCCAAGGGAGACCTGGACACAAGGAGGCCAACATGGGCACTGGAAAAACCATCTCTGTAGGAGCATCACCAAACCCAACATGCTGCGGGCATCCTCTGGAAAGGAGAGAAGCCAGAACGGTCTCCAGATTGTTGACAAGGAGAATTTAAGTCTCATTCTTCCTTGCAAATCTGCACTGGGAGCTGCTCTAAGGTCTCCCTGGAGTCTTCTCTTCTCCAGGCTGAACAAGCCCAGCTCTCTCAGCCTGTCTCCATAGCAGAGGTGCTCCAGTCCTCAGAGCATCTTCATGGCCTCCTCTAGACTTGCTCTAACAGGTCCATGTCCTTCTTATGTTTCCCCTGCTGAAGTCTTGTGATCACCATTTTTTTTCCTCCCATTGCAGATCCTGCATTCTGGGATGTCTGCAAACTTACTAAAACCAGCCCCAATACATAATTTAGCCTTCTAGCTAAAGAACATGTGCCACACTGGGTCTCTGCTGTTAGAATGGTATCTCCTTAGAAAGCCTGATATCAGGTGTCTTACTCATTAGGATTAGCAGAAGCTGGATTGAATCCATAGTAAATTGATATGCTTTCCAGGCAAGCTCCTGCCTTGCCAGTTGAAGATGTGTGGATGGCTAAAGGACAAAAGAAGCGCTAGCACCACAAGGCTGAGAAGCAGAAACCCTCCTCTGCCTCACCCATCTGCTGGGAAGTGGCTACCAGCTCACAGATCTAACAATCCAACAAAGTCAGGGCGGTTTTTCACCTGAGCTTTGGAGTCAGACACACCTTCTTGTTTTGTAAAGATCTGGACAGGAAGCAAAACTTGGCACAAGTCTGCAACGGGTACATTTCTGGTTACTGCACCAAGTCTGAAGCTGCAAAGGTCTGGAAGTGCCAGTATTCAGCTTTTGCATTTCACAGAAAATAGGTATCCTCTTGCCTTTCACCTGGGAGTATTTAAGATTTAAGTAGCCTGTAAATTTATAGATCCCAAGGAAAAACCTAGCAAGCTTTATTGATTTACTTGTTTTCCTGTAACATGCTGAACAACAACATGATGCAACTACTGTCAATTGAGAAAGTGAAGATCCTGCCTGAAACATCTGAAACTGGAGTCTCCAGAGAGATCAGTGCACTGGCATTAAACTCTTCCCAGAGAGGAGGATGCTACAAAGAAGTTGGGTACCTCCAAGCCTTGGTAAGCACATTCAATTAATAACATTAGCTCCAGCAAAAGTTAGAAGCAACTTAAAGCTATTGCCATCGATGGCTTGTTTTCAAAGAAGCTATCCTGATTCACAGAGCTTTTAGGAAGCAGCTGATTGTCACCAGACAACTATTCATCAGCTTTTGTAAATCCCTGTGCTTTCCCCTGGGTAACACCAAGGAAGCACGTGGGGACCTGAAGGCAGCAAGCTGAGATGGAAGCGGTGGGGTCCAGATTCGAAACCTTCTTCCCATCTCTCTATCCCCCTGAGACAGTTCAAGCATGGTGCTTCCCCAGGCAAGGCCAGGTTTTGATCTTGACTGCACACACTGCATCCCGAGCTGCAGAAATGAGGGCATCGCGTTAGGAGAAAGAAAATAAAACTCTTCAGAGAGATAAAAGTGAATTTTTGGGAAACTTCTGCTTTAATACAAGCAACTCATCTTCTGAAACAGGTTATAGGGAATGGGAAGATTATTTGGTTCAGGGACTTGAAACACGATTTCTCTCTCTTCTAAAGCTTTTACATCCCAATTGGCCTCTAAAAGCACCAGATTTCTCAGGCATGAAATGGACATTATAGGTACAAATGTACTCAGAAGCTTGTTAGGCCAGGTGAAAAAAGGAGGGTTATTAAAGCAGCTAAATACAAAAGAAGTCAAATCTTCTCCTTTGCATGGCATTAAGTGAGACTTAGCAATTTTTCATGATTTCATCGCACACTTAAAAGCCAGATCTAAACGTACAGAGAACAGGCATGTTATGTTGCCAAATTCAGGGATTTACAGGCCAGAGGAGGTCATCTTGATAATCTTGTGTGACCTCCTTATATGGTGGACCAGGACACTTGATGGAGCCACTCTTTCTATGGAAGACTTATCACAAGGCACTGTAACATCTACGAAATGCCAACTCAGACCAAATTACAAAGCCATGAATTCAAACTTCATGGCACCAATTGAACCCAAGATGTTTTCTGGAGAACCACTGGCAAATGGCGGGTGGGGTTGACAGGAGTAAATTAAGCCAAAAGAGACTTTAAGTCACCTACATAAACTTTCTGCATCATCCAGGTCACAGGGATGTGCCTCAGACCTGAGCTGTCAGCAGTACAAGCAACTCTGCTGGAAAGGCATCCTGTCTCCATTTGATGTCCACAGACGTCAAGAGCAGGGGATGCTCACTCTCAAATGTTAACAACTTGCTCCTTGTGAGTGTGCCTCTGGCCCCCATTTCCACCAAAGTACACTTGGTGGGCCTCATTCACACCAGAACAGCGCAGAGGTGCCATAAACAAAAAATGTGTTCTTTTTCAAACAGATGAGGTCTCAATCTCTCAGGGCTACTTCTGCTCTTCCATCATCTTAATGACTGATTTTGCCACAGTCTTGTTTCTCAATAGTCTTGAGCCAAGTGCTCTGTCAAAATCCAACCAAAGATGTTCCCTCAGCAAAGCTGAAATGCTGCGCTCCAGCAGAACAGAGAGTCAGCAGTTACCCATACCCAAGGAGATTAAAATAGTGAGGAGGACACAAAATCAGCCAGTGAGCTACAGGAGAGAGACAAACACATTTACCAAAAAGCCACCTTCCCTTACAGCAAACGTTAAGGCTTCAAACACTGAGCACAGCATCAGTGGTGAGACCTGCACATAAACTCTAGACCCTCCAGACTCAAAAGCAGACCAGTTTGTGCAGTTCTGGTTATCTTATTTTGGTTATTTTGGGCTTTTCCTTAGAATATTTTTTTCTTTTTTAAACACTCTGCTGTCAGCAAAATGTCCCCCAGCTCAAAATCATGACTCTCCTAAAAAAAAGTTTGCAAACTTTTGAAACAAACTTCAAGACCTAAAATGCCTCCAAAGCACTCGACACACCACATTAGAAGTTTCTGTTCCTTTCAGCAAATAAGTTCAAGGTGATTCAGTTCCAGAATGTGTGGGGTTTTTTTGACTCAAGGAGCACAAATCCCCACAACTCTATGAAAGCCCATTTGCTCCTGCTGTTGTTCATAGCCACACTGGCCAAATGGATCTTAAAAACATTAGAGAGAAACAAACCAGAGCATAAATCCAGAGTCTGACCAGCAATAATGCTGTTAACCAATACTTTATAGCACATTTTTATACATAAATACAGAAATGCAGTAAAATCAATATCTTCCAGCAATTTCCTTACTAGTGAGGCTTTACACTTAAACTTTAAATTAAGTGTCACATATAATTTGGCAGTGAAAACATGAAGAATGTCTATGCCCTTGGAGAAGTTCTGACAGCTCAACTTAGTGAACTGGATTTATTTCTGGGCAAAGAGCAAACTCTGCAAGAAATCGGGAACCTCATTGCTCGCATCAGGTCTTTTTGAGAAAAAAAAGCCAGAAGGATGCCCTTAGG